ATGCAACTGCACGTTAAATACTTCATTATTTTCATATCGATGAATATCACTCATTTAAGAGTATTTTTTGTCATATTGCAATGTGTACGACGATACGTTGTCATCAGTACTATATCTTGAAAAGAACACACGAAACATCATATGTGGCGCTTAAGGCATATACATAAAGAAACTGATGCACTTCGAGATTGCAAAAATCAAGGCAATATAATCAGTAGGGCTTGATAACTGCTTGTTTTTGTGAAGAAATTAAGATCAGAAAGCTTACGAAATTGAACTTACTATTAGATAAGATTGTAGGTGATACAATGATGAAAAGTTGAATTTATGGTGGTTTTACTCATCAATTTTTGAGGCAAAACAGTTTCAGAAAAACTGCTCTTTTCTAAAAAAATTACAACTAAAATCTCACAATTTCTTGCGGTTGCATTAGAGATGTCCTAAACAATGATAATAATTCACAATAACGAAGGCTATGAGGATAATGATGAAACAACATTCATAAGTTCCCAACCCACATTTAACAATATCAATATGTTGTTATGTTGTCAACCGTGAGCAACAAACAGTACATGCATGCAATAACACGCAATGAAAATCTCCTTTCCGATTCGTCCAGTACCGCTTATAATATGTTATGAGTATGCTAACTAAAAAACTAACAGTGATGGTGATAATAATGAAAATAACAGCACCACTTCGATGAAACCAACAGACTTAATTTCAACGATACGTTTTTATGTTTTTTTCAGTTAGATCTTATAGCTTAGAACCATGAAGAACTGAATAATTCGATTAAAACTCAAACGAAGTTTGATGGAACTCAATAAAATCTAGTCAGAAAATGATGCATTTGTCATCGCTACTAATGCAAATGAAGCTTGGTTCCATCCCGTTTTTCTCAGCCGGAAAAAATCGCTTATGGCATGCGATGCATACCATACGAACTGCGGTTCAACCATTGATCTGATGGCTTGCCATCATAAAAAACGTGATTCACGTGAACACAAATAACATTTAACAATGTGATGCTAATACTACATTTTTGTTTGTGGATACTACAAAAGTTAGAATTAGGGAGCTGCTCAGATGGTATGAGCCGGCTAAACTAAATGGAGTATTGTTTGTGCACTTACAAAGAAAACAAATTATAATTCGTTTACTCAACAACAACACAATAATGATAAGAAATCAGCCTAACTAACCGTATCAGATCAAAAGCCATCAGCAAGTATACGAAGAGAAGTACATTCTAATACAACGACGAATAAAACAACAGAACGGTACATTGAAACGAACTAGTCTAACATGGAACATTCAGATGCGTACGATTATTATTTTGTTTACGGCTTCTATTACAGAAATCGTTTATAAGCTCGTTACTACTGCATATACTCGTCCACATTTCAGTATTACGCATTAACATGTATATCGAATCACTTCCTTCACCTATTATAACCTATGTGTTCACGTCTCTCCGGACGTTCCAGAAGTGCGATTAGTGAACGTTTGACTGAATGCTTTCACGAAATGCTTTCGTTTTAAAAACTCGTTCATGAACAAATACCAACAAAAAACGAACTAAAATTAGTGGCTTGGCGCACAGGAACAGACCAAACAAATAGTTGATGGGTGAATTCAATTATTATATTCATTCAAGTGATGCAAATGTGGATTGACAAGATCGACTCAACTTTTGCAATGAAGTACAATTGCAACTGAAGAATCAGAAAGTCATACCCACACAAATATCAGAAATACGCTAAGTAGCAATTAATAAACAACACAAATACTACCCAAAAAAACGAGAACATGAGATGACAGGCGAGAAAAAATTTCCTTAATGAAATGATACAATCGAACTGAAATATTACAGAAACATCGTTATATATTGTGTAAAGCTAATGAAAATGATGTGCAAATAAACTGCGTTGATTAATCATTTCGCTGTTAATGTAATGTTTACTACAGTTTTACTGATTAGTATTTCATCGCAAAAGTTTTCCCAAAAAATATTCCACAGTAAAATAATGAGAGAGAATCAATTGGATGATGATAAATAATCCAACTCAGAGAAAAACACTACAAAGTAAGGTTTTCAAGCAGTTCATCAAACCATTCGTGTATGACCTATGCAACTGCAAAATGACAAAAACTGATCGTACTGTATTGTTCAAAAGGAGCTGCAATTATTATAAAGGTTTCAAAGGATGTAAAATGCTGTGAACAATGCGTACGAAATGTCTTTCGTAAATAAGAAACATGATGGAGATATAATTCAACTCATCTATTCAAATACGGTTTGAAACATCAAGGAAATAGAATAATGTTACAAATAAGATATTATGGAAGGAGTTGATTTAGATATAATAATAGATTAAAGGTCAGCATATTATGTACTAATCATGTCATCAAACACTACTTTCAACGGTGCTGTTTCAAAGAAGAAACTCTTAGCGATGAAGAACACGCTCCGTTTAACACTGAATAATTGTAGATACAACGAATGATCAATTGATTTCGCCTTCACACTCAGGAACGGCCTTTGATTCCGCTTCATAAGTGGAATCGTGCTGAGCGAGGATTCTTAATAACGGTCGAACTTTCAACCACCATTGCTCTTTCGGGAGACGATGCTCGAAATCGGTTTCACCAGCTAAGTCCTCCACCGGCGTGAAAACAACTCGTCGACCCTGGAATGAGATGAATCATATTCATGCCTTCCCTGAACATTTTGCACACTGTATATCCGGGAAAATAGACCCATCCACTTCAAGCAGTGAGAGTTGTAAAGATACGATGAAAAAGAAGCCATTATAAATACTCACGCGCAAACCGAGAAGCGTAGCAGTATCAGGTTTGGTGGCTGACACAGTTTGTTTTTCTCGATTGTAATTTTCTTTGGCTTGTGTAACAAGATATTCGAGCGCACGAGATGCTAGTTTCGTACCCAGGTTACGATCGAACGGTGTCGGACTTCCTCCTTGCTGGGCATGACCCAAAACGTTTGTTCTAAAAACTGTATGAAATAAACACCGCTGAAACAATGACGAGAATGCAATACCATCGTAAAAATGCCACCAAAATAATGGGCTCAGTAATAAGAACCCGTTTTGTACATTAAAGAGTTTTGCAATTCTCATTTCTATTCAAATAATTTTTTTCTTTTAATTTTTTGACTACCCTACCACGATAACAGTAATGCATTCACCCCCTAAAAACGGATGAAATAAGCATGTATCCACTCAAAATCGAAAACAGGCTTCATTTGCAGACTTTGGAGAGTTCCACAGCGCAGAAAATATCAATTAACAAACAGCCACGTCAAGCCACTAAAAATCATTCAAGTATGATGAAAAAACAGCTCAAGAATATTGCGAACTTCACGATAAAAACACCCGGAATCCAAACTCAACGATAGGTGGTATGAGAGAACAAACCACCCGATGACGTTCAAGGATTCATTAGTTTCCTTTCTCGAAAACTGCACTGACTTTGAATTGGATACTAAAAGATACCAAAAGAGAACAACGAAACACAACCTTGTGGAAAAGGCGCCTTTTCCTTCCTCAGCAAAAAGTTGTTTCACGAAATCAGTCGTATAATTTTTATTGGCAAGTTCACAGCGTATGATCAAGTAGCGTTGAACACCCCTTTGCATCTTCCTTGTAATTACCTATGACGAGAAAATAAATGCAAACATAAATAGACTGTCGCGATCAACACTTCTCACAGATCAATCAACATATGATTAATTAATTTTCGAGTTGAGTACTTGGAATAAGATTTGATCGCATGTATAATCACACAACAATTGAAATTTTACAGTTTCATCGATCTAGACCAGTGGTTCTCATAAGGGGTGAAATTACCCACTTTAGGTAATTTCACAAAGTATTGGATGGGGTCAGGAAATTAGTATTTCGTACAGTTGTTATTTTATGATAAAACGCCAGTGTGATGATGTTTTTTAACTCGGATATGTAAATGTGGTTAGTTGATGGCAACACTCTTCATTCCCCTATTTTCTGAGTATCATTAGCTCGTCCTTTAACAGGGTTTTCATTTCTTTTAACAGAGTTTTCATTCCTTTCCTCGCTGTTACAATCGCTCTCATAGCTTTTATCACCAAAAGCGTTTTCTCTTTTGCTAATTTCTCATTCATTTCACTCAACAATTAAAGTCAAATTCTCATTCTATCAAATACACTCTATAATTGACCATTTGACTGTTGAACGTTGTTGAGCAATGATATTCGACTGCTGTATTGTTGATTCCGGCTGTCAACACTCGTCAACGTATCCAGCAAATAGTATATGCTACAGAATAAGAAACTGTTTTAAATTGTGGAGTGAAATGAGACGAAGTGAATGAGAAAAACTCATCAAGAGAACGATAGTTACATGTAACAGCTATGAGAGTGAATACAACACGTCTGAAAAGAATGAGAGTTCATCTGAATCAGTTTGAAGTGAGTGTATCAGAGACAATAGTTTTTCATGCGATCATAATCGATTACAATAATGAGGAACACAACGGTCTAAGAGGAAGTCCAGCGATGTTGAATACCATCCTGAACGTGTTAACAACATCTGAAAGTAACCTATGCGATTCCCATATGCAATGGTAATGTTAAGGAAAGCAATCCAGAATATCCGGGGAATTGACATTACTTAGGATGGATTCATGAAATATGATTCTAAGAAGGCTCACTGCCACCGCGTGCAAATTAAACTGAGAGCAATAAAATACCAGAAATTGTATTTAAAATCGGTAAGAAATTTCCCGACCGGTTTTCTGATTGTTCCTGACCTTACACGTAGAAATAGTAAGTTCTTGTATCAGAGGGAGGGGGCAACGACGGCCTACTAGATCGTCAAATGGGGTAATGGGGCACCCAAACGTGAGAACCATTGATCTAGACTACTGATATCCCGTAATCGAAACTGCATCAAAATTAGTGAAAGATAAGCAACGAAAAATATTCTTGTTAGACGGCGAAAACGAATGAAATGCAGTGAGTAACCTTCACGTCCTCAAGAATGTCCAGAACACCGAATTTCTCCTCGAAAATGTACGCGTTATCAGCACCAGAAGCAAGAGCAGAAAGTGTTGCCAAATAACCACAAAAACCACCCATTGTTTCAACAATGAATACACGACGTTTCGTACCAGTCGCTGACAGTTTAATTTTATCGATCATATGACAGATTTCGTTTACAGCTGTATCAGAACCCAAAGATAGTGACGTGCCAGGTATGTTGTTACTGATCGTGCACGGTATTATGCAAATCGGGATCCGTAGCGACTGATAAATCGGTCGCGCACGAGAGAGCAGAAGACATGAATGGTATGCCTTAATAGAAATAAAATGTTGATTATTGATTCGAGTCGAAATGAACAACATACGAAGGACCGAGTTATGTAAATAAACGAAGGAACGGATAAGAGTAAATGAAAGATACCCACCTCAAAGCCACCAATAAGCAGTAGTGCGTGAATATTAAATCTACCTAGTACAGTTGCTATTTCTGGCATCCATTTTTCAGGTAACTGCTTCTGTGTTCCCAAAAATGAGCCACCATGCATTACCCAGTTGTTAACATCGCTCCATGACATCTCCTTCAAGAACAAGAATCATTTGAAGAGCATTCTTTGCACAAAAAGAGACGGAACACGAATATTGAGTAATAACCACACTTTGATAAACGGAAAAGGAAAGACGTCAATTTTGACAATCTCAATCAATCGTAACAGGGTCACAAAATTCCTCCAGTCTCCACTCACAATGACACAATGAAAATTCAACTCAATCAATGGTTCACCTGTTTTATATGAATGATTATTTTTTGTACTGACTGCAGAAGAGCAAAATAATTCAGTGAAAGCATTATTCGAAATTAAATAAAATGACAGCGAACCTTGAGATCACCTTTTGCAAGACCCTCGAAAGAATTCTGCACACCGTAAACTTTGCAGTGATGATAGATGGCCATACGAACAAATGATCGAACCGCTGCATTCATACCTTCAAAACAACTTCTTCATTACGAAGACGGAAAGAATGCAACATATCAGAAAGCATTATGGACTTAGTATTCCTCGATTAAGAAATGATATTGCACTTGGATGCTGCTGTCTCTTAATAATTGTGATGGCAAAGAATACACATACTGACGATATAAAAGCAAACTGACCGCCGGCCGGAGCGCCCACATTGATGACGGCAACATTAAATATAAGTCCAGCAGAAAGATTATCTTTTTCTTGCGGAATATGAAGTTTGGTAAGTAACCGATACGTGTCTAAATTTCGTTGAAAACTACGTCCACGTAATTTTACTGCTTTGTCCCAATCACGAGCGTCCATCGCTTTTTGCACCTACATGAATATATTCGCATAGATGGACATTAGAATTTTATAGAACGGCCATTGCCAAGATCATACTTCAAATGATTCATAGAGTATCGAAGTCAATTTTATCATCAATCATGGTTCTTCTGAGACACCGCTAGAAAAAGATTACGAAGCGAAGGCAATCAGAATATGTGCTATCTCGAAAATCAAACCAAACATAAAAATAATCAACTAAAGTGAAAAGTTATCGCACCTCTTGCGTACGCAACACACACTGCATGAGTGGCACACGCACCATCTGATTGCCATCGATTGAAATAACACACGGTTCACTCTCGGGTTTCATTTCCATCAACGCAAGTACCGCTTCTGCACCCATTCGACAACCTAAAAGACGATCAAAAGCCGATGGGCCTCCGCCTCGTTGTACATGACCTAAAACGGTCACGCGTGTGTCATAGTGAAGAGTATCTTTGACCACCGAACGCACCTAAAATACTATGATGCATCACTAGAACCAGTTTTAATCAAACAATATTATCCATGTAGACTGTTCACTCAATCTTTAAACCCGAGGCATCAAACTTTAATTCTCCTGAACTCTTGCCTATCGTATTCTGATTAATCTTATCATATGTTAAAGAGATGTGTAATCGCTAATGCTCATTCAGCTCTACAAAGAATTTTCGAACTTCCAATAAAAAATGGCCCTACAAAGAACTTTTGAAGTTTCAGTGGTTTACGATGTATCAATCACAACATTTTCTGGGTCATTTATAGTCATTTTTGCCAAAATATCAGAAAAGAAATGTACAATATCGGCAGTGATCGCTTTTCCTTCACGATCGATCGCGCCTTCAGCGACAATAATAATATTCAGACGTTGTCCTTGCGCTCGCATTTGTTGTAGTTTATTGCACAACACATCAGGCCAATCAGTAGGTGCTGGCCATTCGGGAATGAAGCAGAAATCGGCTTCAGATGCCAAAGCAGCCACTAATGCTAAGTAGCCACAATGGCGACCCATCACCTCGAATATAATTACAATTCAACAACAGAATATTTCGGACATGAAGCATTGTGTTCGTTTAGAGGAACATTCATTTCAATTTAAAATTACGTTACCACACCACTCGTATACTTCGAAAGAAGTTACGACACAATTTTTTGACGAACTTTCACCATTTTGAATTATTGAAAATGGTTAGTTTAGAATTTGCTTCAATGAATAAGTCACAATGAAAGGCGATGAAGACAGAGACAAAAGAAAAATGACCAACCTCAATGACAAACGAACGCTGATGACTTTGAGCAGTCGACATCACCGAGTCGATGGCTTCTATAATTCGCTGCAACGCAGTATCTGTACCGATCGTCATATCCGTACCGCAAAAATCATTATCGATTGAACCAACTAGACCAACTATCTGAAACAGAATCAACCATTAACTAACTCCATCGATCGCTATCTTCGAATCAAATCCCAAAATTGATATTTTCTGAAGATTTATTATCTGAGCTCTTCCTCAAATACCGACAGAAAAGATAGCAAATATCTCGCCTGAATATTGGGACATTGCTGAGCTTTTTCGAGAGTGATACGACCCTTTTCGACCAGATCCTTGACAAGATCTGGCCACTCCTGACGGAACAAATTCGCACCAGTTAAGGAGCCATCACCTGAATATACGATTCAATTGAATTAACTAAACCTAAATGACTCAAAACGTCATCCAAGTATTAAACATTCTAAATTTGCACGTATGTGAACTGGTGTGAGTTTTCAAATTTTAAAAACTTTCAAAATTGAATCATTTCCAACTTGTTCGCAATCGTACAGTACATTCAGTGATAAAGGGAATAACGTTTTTAATGAAGCAAGTGTCACGGCATTAAGATTTCATTATTTATTCGTGTGGAAGAGCTGACAGCGAGAAGAGAACTAACCGCCAATGCAGACTAGATTTGTGATATTGTGTGCTATGAGATTTTCAGCTGCACGAAGCCGACCTTCTCTCTCGCGAAAATCTTTACATCTTGCCGAGCCAATTATGGTTCCTAGAAACAAGAACAGTGAAGGAACTGAACTATTTGGCACGGTTTAGCACCGTTCCAAAAACAAAGCAGTGGTAAGCGTACACCGTCTCTAGACCCTGCAGAGATTACCGGATGCCATTTATCTTCATCTCTTTGAGTTAAGCTATGTTTTTGATTCAAGTCTATTCCTTAGGCTTACGCTGAGTCTTATGCCTGGAATTAAATTCATGAGCGTAAGCTGAACTGATGGGGTGAATTCCGAGGTTCTTTAGTTTTATTTTACACTGAAAATGAGATTAGATACTGAACAATTTCTGTTCGGTCTGTGAAAGTCAGAAACAAGAACTGGTTGAAAACTGAAGAACACTGTCAATGAAACCTTGGAAATTTTTATTGAAATATGACCACAGTGCACTCACCTCCTTTCTGAATGATATCTGATACAGCATTCCAGTCAGCTTCCTTAATGTTATCACCACCATCAACCATTCCTTGATATCCCTCGTAAATGAAATAAACTCGACAACCAAGATAGATACCCATTCGAACAACAGAACGTACGGCGCTGTTCATACCTGCAATTATCAACCACCATATTAACGAAAGTTATTCTGGACGTTACGCTTAATTAACTACTTGTTGCAAGGTAAAACGCTCAAGTTTCGATTATTGAGGTATTAATTCTAGAGGCGATTAAGTGAATGAGAAAAGACATACCGGGTGCATCACCACCGCTCGTGAAAACAGCAATCGATTGACCTTTGTAAAGCCGTGGCTGAATAATTGCACCTTCTCGGCCTGCGGTTGGCACAATTGAATCTGATCGACCTTTAGCGAATCGACTTCGAGGTGGCGCAGCATCTCGATCTGGTAAAGGGCCCAAATCGTCGTCAAGAGATGTGCCTAATAGCTCGGGTTCTGTCATCACTGAAAGATTCGAAAGTTCTACATTCAAAACCACTGGCTATGCACACGGAACTATCGGCATGTTAACGACAATGATAATAACATGTGAATATTCTCAACAACTTGCTACAAGCGTTTTCACGAAGCGATTTCAAATCATGATATTTGACCTTTCAATCAACCATCCTTGATGTAATTCTCTTTAACAGTCACTGCGAGTGTGATCAAAATCAATCAGGTGAAAGTGCACATCGTTTGTGGTCGATTAAGTTCATGACAAGTTTGCGATTTCATTTCAGCATCCTCTTCACAGTCAGAGGTGATCATTTTTTCACGTCATAGTAAAATATAAATATGAACATAAGTAGACTAAAAAGGTGTGAATTAATAGCAAACACAAAGTTACATACACCTAATAAATGACGTGTCTGAAGGGTAGAGAATTAAAAAAGTATATTCGAATCGCTGATAACATCCGATGATTGTTCAGTCAAAAAAGTAACTGGAGGGATTATTATTGCGAAGCAGTAGAGCGCACATTGCACTTTGTAAAGAATATGTAATCAATGCACGCAAAAAGACAATAAGCACAAACAACAATCGTTTACTACTCCCTTCTAAGAGAAATGATGCGCCGAGCATACTGCTTGGATCGATATGTCCCAAGACCACATACGTCCTTTCTTCGTTAGTGAGCAGTATTAGATCTTGTTTAACGCTCAACGTTTCCACGAAAACTGCTCATGCTCAGAGTTTGCTGCGAGCAAAACAAATTCAGCTAACTAAGACAGATAAAATCTATCTCGCTGAGAATCTTTGCTGTGAGTTTAAATTATCCTGAAGCGGATTCAAAATAATCATAATTTGTTCACCGATTTAATCCGCCTTTATTTACAGGCTGTGAATCAGTAGTTTTCAGCGGTTGAGGACAAAAAATACATGAACAAGAATGACTTCATTGGGATACGGAATAACACAACTTGGAAAAGAAACGAAAAAGAAAAACAAGCTGATGTAATGAACATTCGATTTTGATAGAGTACGCTGCGAGAGCAAACTCCATTCAATCCATAGTTTTCAATCGACTGAAAAGAGAACAAGTAAGTAAGTGGTAGTTGAAAACAGTTAGAAACACGTTTGAACGTTAGAGTCATTTGGAATTTCTTGACAAAGATGACTGACAGTTTCATATTCAAAAAATGCAAGGAACAAATTGCTTTAGTAGGCAATCAAATCGTGTGGAACTGTGAAATTCAATTTCATTTCTTGTGGCCTTAGTTATATAATAAGTTACAATAAGGATGTTCAGAGATTTTTTCCGAAATAGTTTGACGATACTCTTCAAACAAGATGAAATTCAGCACAAAATTCATGATCCTTCTAACTAGTGTTCGTCGCGGAACGGGGTCACCGTCGGAGACTCCAACGGGGAACGCGAGGATCGCTCCCTCCCGCCAGCACAATTTGCTTTCCGACATTTTGCGGGGGATACCCCCCCCCCGTCCGAAAAACTACTCCCCGACGAACACTACTTCTAACTAGTGTTCGCCGCGGAGCAAATTCTCGGTCGGAAAAGACCCGATCGGGAATCAAAGTGGCCGGAAGGACCCCGACAAAAAGTTAGGGTGTGAACTGATCGAGTGAGTTCGCTGCGGGGACGAATTCGTTAGGGGAGAGGGGGACCTTGACGAAAAAGCTGAGGAGCAAAACTGTCGAGAGAGTGAGGAGGGGGAAGGCGATAACTACGTCGATGAATCCCCATCGCAAAGGACGAGAGGCAATTCAACGCAATTTCAAGGAAAATTTCTCCTTTCGATGTTCATTTCCGAAAGAAGAAGGAAACGTTATTCAATGACAATGCGGCCCCGATTTTTTTGGTTTACGTTTGCAACAACTGCAAATACACCATCATCTTCAAACATAAGATTGATTCCCTAGTTCTACATCTGTTACTGCGCTTCGATTTGCACTGCAATGTTTACCAACCCATCTTTCGAGATTTCCACCAATATTTGAGTAACACGGTATTGCGAACTCGCAACTAATCTATGTAATTAGTCTCAATCTTAATATTAATTATTATTGGTGTCAATTGTTATCATTAACGACAGTACTATTCATATTAATTATTGTTTATAATGTCAACTACTATTTTAATTGATAACGTCACTCATATAAATATTGACACAATAATTGATAATGTCACCCGTGTAAATATTGATACCGTAAACCGTTATAATGATGACACTAACGATAAGGCCCATTGATAATGCTCTAATGTTCTCTCATCTAAATCCTAATGTATATCTCGATTGTCAGATGTGTTCCGATATCCTTATATCAACCCATCTTATTGTGACCTTATCGTAACCACCCTCAACCTTCAAAAAATCTTACCAACTTACATAGAGCCACATCCTCAATAGTCCAAAACCTCAATCTTATTGTAATTGTTGTTGAAATTCGAATCAATTGTGATTGAATTATAATCGAAGTCTCGTTTCCCATCTCCAAATCCAAGATTTCCCCTGTATATCAAATTCGATCGTCGATTGTGCCCCGTCAACTCGAATGCCCATTCCGTTCGTAATAAATATCTAAGGTGTGGTGAATCGCAAAACAAAAACCACTAGACGCCAAACCCTCTCTACCAACCAACGATCAACTCAATATTCGATGAGTCCCCTATTAATCTCTTCACCACACACGGTCTGAAAACCCTACTTCTCCGTTGACGAGTTTGTAACAATCTATTGCTCAGCTCTGCGGAATTTAACATCCCTACAAATCCACTTCTTCAGTAAAAATTTCATCCCGGTGAATATGAACTGCCTTCACAAGGACTTTTCTGTACTAATCCAACTTTTTGCGCAAGACACCTAAATGCATATCTAAGTAAGTTTGGTGAATTTTGATTCGCATGGGCCTAATCTTCCAAAATTCCCTAGTATGGAACATTCAATGCATTTATGAAAGGAAACAGAACACTGTAGGAGATACGAGTAGGAGATACGCAGGAAATATAAAAAGGCAACCCCTGATTGCAGATAGTGTTGTTCACCCGTTGTATGTCTAAATGTGTAAGCCTGAACACAACTCTTAACCTAAGCGTGCACTCAAACCTAAACATGAATTGCATTTTGATGCGATCGCACCAGGCTAAAACACATCAATGCGTACACACCCATACAAGCTTTACACTTCACCAAACAAAACCTTATTTTTACCACGCGATCCGGAGCAAAATATTCAAAATCCCCGCCATGCAAAAACGTTTTATGTAATGGTTCACAGTTGTTGGGAATCCCCGCGGGGAGCGCAATGGACGAGGGACTCGATAAAAAGTCTGGCAGCGAATTGACCGAGACAGGGGCGAAGAGGGGGTGGGGTCTGCGAGAAGGAATTTTCAGGAAGGAACCTCGACAAAAAATCGATGAGTAAAACTGTCGGGGAATCGCTTCCCGTCGGGTACCCGATTCCCAACGAACACGACTTTCAGCGATATGATTCCACACTTATTGACAACTCACATTCAGTGAACAACTACAACTTTCCAGTCAAGTTTATATAATAATTCCAGTGAATAAAGCAAGCTAGCGTAACAGTCAGTTGTCACGTATTGAATCATCAACAAAACGGTTGGTAAAAAACGACACGAACTGAAAAATGTGGCACAGGAAAGAAACGAACAAATGAGAACAATTTGACGAGTGTGAACGACTGATGTGAAAATCGGCTTGCCTAGAATAGTCGGTACGCTAGCTTGCTTTATTCAAAGCAGAGCAAGCTTCCGACGCGTTCTAGTGATGCTATTTCATCATTCAGTATGCTGAACAATGATGAAATTTAGAAGTGGCAAGGGGATGCACACTAGATACGACACATGTAATGCATTCAGCACACGTAAAGCCTCATTACGCGGTCTCTAGCCTCTCTGTTGTCGTTCGTTGTTGAACGAACTAAACGAAATCTGTCTGTGTGAGTTTGATCGGATGAGAAAGTGAGTATAATATGATCGTTGTGCGCTACGTTCCAGCTTTAAGCAACTGGCACAAAGCACATTCTACCTAACCTAACATGCGTATATACTTGTTGGCTAAGTTGTTGTTTTTCAAGAAGTTGTTTCGCTAATCAAAAGAAGCGAAACATTTAGTGAAGTAGCGAAAAACGCTAGACAACATTTGTGTTTCGTGAAGTGGATTGTTGGAGGTTATGTCAGATTACATATCATGTTCATTTATTCACGTTGCATCTATTTTCTATTCCATAATAACAAATCCAGCACCGCTTCGTTTAGATTTTGAGTTATCTTATCACGAGATGATAGCGGTGGTCATCAATACATAATCGGGAGTAATGTTTCAAGAAGTTTATGGCGAAAATGAAACATAAACAAGACTCTAGTTATCGCGAACGTGTAACACTATTGCGGACATACAAGCTAACACTGGTGTATTTTAGCCTCCATCCACTCAAAACAGGCTCGAGCTTAGGCTTAGGCCTACCCATAAGCTTATGATTAGGCTTGTAAGGCGCTGAAATACATCTGTACAAATTTTACAACTTACCAGGTTCCTATTTGATCAAATGATGGTATGATCGGACAGGATATGAAGAGGTATGAATAAGAATGCTGAGAATAAGAAAGAGGGCTGCGTGCACCACAGCAGTGAATAACAGTCATATCTGACCGATGTCTATGAATTTATACGTTATCGCAAATCGTTCTTTTTCTTTTCTCTTCATCACCATCAATCGAGTTGTTTTCATCTCAGGACTGGTAAAGTATCATCTGGATTGGTGCCTCCTTACTCGTTTCAACTTGCGAAACTCGCATCCATTCATCTACGCTTTAAAATAATATTGCACAATGCACTAATCGGTGTACATTCTGTTCCGTTCTTCATGTTTTCTCAAGATTTTTTTTGCACTTCTCAAATTTGAAGCTCTTTCTCTAATACTTTCAGGTCAAATCAATATGTGGCACCACCAGGAAGGCTAAATAAAAAAGCAATTTTGATTTCGTATACATCATTGTTCAGAATTATTTCATTTCAT